TAATAAAAATTTTCTCTCTTATTTTATTTTATCTTTTAATAATTTAGATATTTTTGATAATATAGCTGGTGGTTAAATAGCTTTAAAAAAACAGACGCGTAGAAATGATATGTGATGGCCCGCCCGATTGTGTGGCCCGCTTGTTTACCGGTTATGTTAATGTAGCCAGTAAGCAGTACGGTCATCTCTGTATTCCATATACAATAGTACATTTTTGAATATCGATATCTCAACAAACTTATATTACTCTGGTAATAAAAGATTATTAGAATCTATAAATTTAATAACTTATTATGATAGTATATATTAGACTATATATAAAGTTATAAAGGAATAGAATATAAGTTTGTTGAGATATCGATATTCAAAAATGTACTATTGTATATGGAATACAGAGGTGACCGGACTGCCTACATGACTGGACTGCTTACCGGCTACGTTAACTATTAACTCTCAAAGCATTAATATCAGTATACTTATCATATTTAGATTCAATCCAGAGTGACCTGCCAACCACCATAATTTTGACAAGAAACCGCTCCAATCCATTCTAGTTCAAGTGTTACGTAACCAAGGCAAAGCCTATGGTGAGTGTATACAGCACATGCGTAGGATATACAAACAAGAAAGATAGACGATGTGAAAAGAGAAGAGTAACTCCTATGCACAATAGAAGAAGTCCCATAACTCCCAAGTTGACATGGACCCAAAGTAAAAAACATGAACAGAGTACGAATCTCTGTAAAGCGTTTAAAGCTCTCGATAATCACTCGGCCTTATCCTCCTATATCTTGCCTGATGTCGTTGTGGATTAACCGGCTGGCGGAAGTACGCCGTATCTTCTTCGCGGGCATACGGAGTGCTGAATGTAGTCCGCTGCTGGTTTGAGAAATGACCCATACTTGGTCCCTGGGGGAAACCTAAGCTCTGCTGCATACTCCCAGCCATATGAGCTATGGGAAACATGTTCATTGGAGAGTCACCCATCCCATTGAACATATTCGTAGCGCCGTACCCAGAATTGACTGCACCGTTTGTGCCATCACCATATAAACCACTTGACAGCGCATTGAAATTCATACCGCCCATAGGATTCCAAGTTTGGCTTATATTGTTAGTGAAAGCATCGGATGAAGCTAGGCCAGCCGAGTTCATAAATCCCGTCCCTTCTCCAGCGAATGCAGCATCAGGGAAAGCCATTGAAGGAATGCCCTGGGCCTGCATGAAATTGAATCCGCCAAAAGGCATTTGTTGGCCGAAAGGAAGAGACTGAAACCCAGATGAAGCATCATTAACTTGTGAAGACGAAGTCTCGATCGACTTAGGGTTATCTTCGGCTTTCTGCTTCTTCTGCGTGGAAGACGGATTTGATCCTTCGGCGGCTTCGCCAAGAGGACCATCCTCTGCAGGCCGTTTCTTGGAATATTTCGACAAACCTGCCCCAGGTGAGGCTGGTGACGATAGTTCTGTTTTTCTACTTGAATCGTCTGTTAAGGCATATGGTTTGTTGGTTGATTGATTCTCTTGAGCTGCCGAATTCTTCTCTTTTTCTTTTTTCGAATCCAACTTCTCAGTCTCGTAAGCCTTAATCTTGATGACAGCGTCGTCGTCTGCAGACAAATTATCCAGCAGGACACCTTCTGTTCCACACCCAGGGCAGACGAAATCACTCTCAATTAATGCATTTGTAATACAGTCATTGCAGTAAGTTCTTTGGCAGCACGGCGTTTTTGTGGGTTCTAAAAACATCCGTCTGTCAATTGGGCACTCTAGCCCACGTGCTTGCAACTCCTTCCTGTATTCTGCGGCTGCAGCTTCGGCTGCTGCCGCCGCCGAAGCCTTAGCTTTTTCTTGGTACAGTTCCCAAGCCGCCTTATCTGGTTTAGCGATGACAAAATCACCATCAGCATTAACCATAACGCCTGTATTCTTCAAATCTTCATTGGAGCCATCTATTGTGAGCGATTCCGGCTTTTCGACTTTTGTTTGCAGAGAACGAGGTATACCAGTTGAACGTTTCACTCGGTACTTGCCATCGAACTTGGGATCATTGTTGGTTGGGCATGCTTGGATCCAATGACCTAATCATGGGCTTTAGCCAATTTGCAACCATCAAATTCGAAACCAATCAGGAAATGCGTGTCAAAACCAACCTTTTTCACGGCAACGATAGCAAAGATATCCAGGAGGTGGAGGGTGGTCGGGGACATTTATTGGTTTTCCTCTCCCGCGACCAAGCGGAACAGGTGTAGCACTATGAAAAATGATCAGATTAAGGAACCATGGGGTTGAACAAAGTATGCTCACTTAGCCATCTCTTGCTGTTGCTCTTTCCATTGATTAGCCTGTAAGTTAAAAAGCGCATTGATCTTCTCTTCTTCGGTCTGAGCATTGTTAAGTTCTAGGACACCGTTGCTAACTGTATTAGTCGGGTTGGGCATTGTTCGGCTCGATGAAACTTGGTCATTACGAGGAGCGTTGCGCGCATTTATAGGCATTTTCCCGGATACGTAACGAGTAGCACCGCCTTTGCCAGGTCGCGATGCAGGTAGCCTCCGTGCTATAACAGATGTCGAACGAGGTATGATTGTGGTATCGTCATCGTACTCTAGGTCACAAATATCTGTTAGCTGCTCATTCTCCTACTTTTTTTTTTCTCTTGATTTGTGCTTTTATTGTTCGATCTTTCCCCCATCTTCTTCTTCCTCTCCCTCTCCCTCTTCTTCTCCTCTTCCTCAGGCGCTTCCCTCCTCCGTCATGTTCTTCCACTTCCCCCTATTTCCTATTTCTAGCATTTTCCTTCTCCAGATTGCCAACGCGCAAAGAAAAGGTGTAATGGGACTCAAGAATAATCGGTTCGTTCAACTTACCTTCTCCGGTGTCTTCATTGTAGATGGACAGCTCGAAATCAGTTCCGTCACCCAGTCTACTCTGATTGATAATTTCGCGTTTCAATTCAAAGACAGAGATACCGGTGCCATCAAAAGTCACCCTTGAGGGTTCTTTTTGAGATTTGAACTTGAAGTGAACAGAGGATGACATTGTATTCAATTGCACGTCCAACGAGAGTGTTTGCGAATGTAATTAATCAAGATTAAAGGGGTATCGCTTTTGCGAGAAAGGATACAACAGGAAAATATAAGCAAAACAACACTTGGGAAACGTGTGGCAGATAGCCAACGACAGATTTTGATTCGAGAATCCTCTTTGTTATAAGACCCTGAAAATCGCAAGACCAATATCTATTGATGATATTGCTCGAACTCATGAACTTAAAGACCTTTGCTGAATGCTGGATGGTAAGTGTTCAAACTGCATACAAACAAGACAAAGTCCAAACGAATACAAAGCGTAACAGTTTGCAGTACTGTGGTAAACAAAGGTGAGCCACAGGAATGCTTCGTATGTCCTATTGTTTTTCTTTTCTTTTTTCATAAGAGGCTTCACCGTTCAATAGGTGAAGTAGAACTTCCCAGTCTCCTCTAGCTTGCAACTTGAAGCCTAGAGTTGTAGCACAAAACAGGGGCTTTTGGGTGTCTTATCGGAATGCAAAATCCATGCACAAGGAAGGGTGGGCAGTTGATACTTGAACAATACCAGAAGTAGACGAGGCTTGGGCCAGGTTGAGCAGCGAAAGACTTTGGGCAACAGGCAGTGTTGTCGTGCGACAAGATACCTGACTAATCCAGAGATTACGACTCGGTAGTACTGGGTCGAGTATAAGAATGTGGACGTATATTTGAAGGGTGGAATTGGAAGAAGAGATGGATAGGAGGCGGGGGAAGAAGATGCCCCAACAACAAAGAGAAGGTAACTGTGTTGTTCAAAGAAGGTGTAGGAAGGTGAAAGTCGTGCTAGGTATGAGTTTGATAGGTGGGAACAAAGCGCACTCGGAAGTGGTGGCGACCAAAGCATTATCGAATCACGTGGCCTGGTGGCCAACTAGCCTGGCCGACTTGTAATGCAGGAGTAGTCTACTGTGCAGAGTACTACTCCGAGTACGTAGGCCCTAAATTGAGCGAGGACAGTCTTGTGGAATTTAAAATAGCTAGTCTACACCATTTCATTCAAATGTCTCTAGTATCTACATACCTCCAAAAGTTAAATGTCAGTCTCAGGTTTGCGAACCAAAAACCCTTGGCCACTTAAATAGTCTTTGACCTCGCTAACAGTGTATTCACCACGGTGGAACTGTTGACTTTGTTAGATACTGCTAAAGACATAAGCAATACATAAAAATAACATACCATGCCAGCGCCCAATGCCGCATCTGTAGCAGTACGCTCGAAAACTTCCGCAAAGTGCCCAGGATTTCCGGCCCCACTTGAGGCAATGACTGGTATTTTGATGGCTGTTTTAACGTCGTTAATTAGTTCTAGATCAAAGCCGCTGTTACTTCCATCTTTGTCAATGCAATTCAAAAGTAGTTCCCCAGCACCCATGGCCTCGACAGCTTTTGCTAACTGCCGAACATCCAAGTCCCGGGCCTCTCTGCCACCTTTGATGGTGCATTGGTACCAACAAAAGTTTTGCCCTGAGGCATTCGGATATTTTGTCCTGATGGTATGATGCTTGGTGTCTTCAGGACTGTTGACGTATACGCGTTTAGGATCGACGCTCACAACCACAGCTTGGTTTCCATATGCACTTGATATTGTCTCTATGGCAGTTTTCCCAGACAGTTTTTCGCCGGCTTCGTAATATTGCTCGGCTGCAATAACAGCATCCGAACCAATGCTAACTTTATCCGCTCCAGATTTGAAATACATGGTGGCGACGTCAAGGGCCGAGATGCAGGTGCCATCTGGATCAATGGTGTCCTTGATTCCACCCCCAATCGTGAGAGGTACGAAAACGGTTTCGGATGCCCTTCTCAATACTTCCAGCATAGGTGTGTCTGCCACTGGACAGTTTCTGAATGATGTTATGTTCAGGAAGGTCACTTCGTCTGCCCCTTGCTCGTAATACTTTTTAGCCATGTCGACTGGCTTTCCCAAGTTCCTCACCTGGCCTCCAGAATTCACGCCGTCCTTCTCGCGTACATCATATTGATCGCCTTTCGTGACGACGAGGTCACCCGAATCGTTCGTGCGGACATCGAGACAAGCAATAACTCTGCGAGTCAAACCGTATTTCTTCTCGGCCGAGACCGATGTGTCTGGCGCAGGCGACTGCATCTGGTCACTATTCAAGAAAGCACGGATAGTCCGCAAGCCAGCCTGACCACTCTTCTCTGGATGGAACTGCGTGGCGAAAATATTTCCCTTTGCTATCGCACCTATAAATTCCTCCTCTCCATATGTGGCTGTAGCGACTGACCAACCATCTTTCTCCAGCACACCAGGTGTGTAAAATGCTGCATAAGAGTGAACATAGTAGTATTTGCTGTCTGGGTTCAATCCACAGAAACTTTGAGCTCCTAATGGACCAACACTGGTGTTCATGGCAGAATTCCAACCTATGTGAGGTACACTCTTCGCACTGTCATCGAACTTTTGCATTCGCTTTTGTATCACCCCCAGCCCAGGGACGTCTGGGTCTTCCTCGGATCCTTCAAATAGTGCTTGTAGGCCCACACAGATCCCCATAAAAGGTTTCCCGGAATCTATGTGCTTCTTTATTGGATCTAGATATCCACCTTCTGAAAGCTGGGAGAGGCAATGGCCGAAATGGCCAACTCCGGGCAGTATAAGTTTCTGCGATATGATTAGTGCAGGTATAAAATGACGAAATATATATACTCACATCTGCATTGTTCAGGTCTTCGGGGGTTCTGATCCATTCAACATCATACCCAACTTTGTTAATTGCATTCACCAACGAACGGACATTCCCAGCAACATAGTCGAGCAGATGGACGGTGGGCATGGCGGCGGGGTAGAGTCAGTTCCACAACTTAAGGGGCTCGCTAAGTCAAAGATAAAGATCCAATTATGAGATGCGACAGGAAGTCCACGCTCCTTTATTTACCCTATAGCCTTTCCAGTATCTCTCTAAGGCGAGAAAAAGATCCTACTGAGCGGGGGTACAATCCCAGCTTTGAAAGGTTGGAATCCTGCCTTCAATACCCCACCAAGAGCTAGCTGACTCATAATCTACTTAATTTTTATTTTTCTCCGGTAGTTAGAGTGCCGGCGACTAAAGTGTCGGGTATACTTGCTGAAAAGAATCACCGCCTTTACCCGTCCCTAGAGCTGCCTCCTTGAGAAGCTTAAATCTTAACATTGTAGGGTGGTTAGGAAACCTAAGGTCAGCGTGACCCGGAGATCGGAATGGATTTACTGTTGGTATAGCTTGAACTGGATAAAATCCTTTAACTATGACTAAAGTCAGACTATTTTCTTGTAACTATCCTTTGTTTAAGCTATCTAGCACATAAAATCTTTTTTTACTTTTTTACTATAATCTATAGCCTTTTTCTTTATCTTAATCTTCACTTTCCTTTAAATCTAGTAGAAATAGCATCTATTATTATGGTAGACGCCGAAGCTACTAATTATCTCCCACCTAGTAAATAGTATTGCTTTTCTATAATTCTATAGATAGATACTTAGGTGTAAATTATTTAGGTATATACTGGGTATATTAGTTAGCGTCGAGCGATTTTTCTTAGGGTTCTGTAATATAGTACTGTATCTAGTAACGTAACCGGCAAGCGACCCGCACCTGTAAGCCAGCCGCACCCTCTGATTTCTGTAGAAAACCGTCTTTTTTAAATAATAATATCTCAATCAATCCAGGTTCTATCTACTTAAAAGTTTATATATAGTTTATTATATACTATAATAATAATATACTAAGCTAAGAGATTTTTTGAATTGCTGGTTACTATATACAGATATATTATACTATATTTTATAGTATATAGTTAAGATTTATATCTTCTAAGACTTTGTTTCTATTTAAATTCAGTTAATATACAAAGAATATCGGTATTAATTATATACTCTATTTTATTTTTAAACTTATAAATTTACTAGTGGGTGAGATATAATTGTTTGAAAAAGACAGTTTTCTATAGATATCAGTAGGCCTAGGAAAGGACCGTAAAGGCCAAAGACCGGACCGCACCAGACCGCACCATAGTGCGGTCCAGTCCTCAGATTTAGAGACCGTATACAGTCCTGATTTTTCTAGGACTGAATTACTGTGGTCTGATCCAGTTCTGTAATTCTCTAAATAAAATAAATAGATCTAATTCTATAATATATATTAGCTGGATTAATTATTTAGAGTTATAATTAAATATCTAATATATATAGAAAAATTTATAATCTTTTTTTAAATATATATATAATTTTTATTCTATTTTAATCTAAACTTTATTATATTTATTCTATCAAAAAGAGAAGATTTTGCTAAAATTATATAAAAATAGGTCCCCGCGGGAGACTGCCAAGGTGATCCCGAGGGACCATAGTACAGTCCTAGACCTATAAAAAAAAAGACCAAGGACCGGACCATTCCTAGGCCTAGATATCAGAGGGTGCGGCTGGCTTACAGGTGCGGGTCGCTTGCCGGTTACGTTATATTAACCAATAACAAGTATTACAATTTTATACCATACAAATAGGTACTCTATCATCCCTGCCTACAGCAGACTTTTATAGACCATACTGAGATACACACAGGCTCATATTTAGTTGATGGCCGCTTAATTATACAAGAACCCACTATAGTAACCGGCAGCACTACAAGCTAGGCTATTTATACATACATAGTATAGTCGAAAAATGTATTTACCAGGAAGAATTCGGTTATACCTAGAATTTTTAAAACTTGAGAATGATAGTCTTTTTTTAATAAATATATCACTACAGTACCGGATTCAAACACGATTATAGAAGAGCAGGTAAGCATTTATAGCTCAAAACTATGTGCTGCATACCCCAAGATATTCATCCTGCTCAGAGAGCAGATAAACTTCCAGCATAGTTTTGTCCCCTAAAGGACCCAGCCAAGGCTTCTCTAGCCACTATACTAAAAGATATTGCTAGCTACATCGAACACTGATACTACCTAGCGATATGGTATTGGCTATAAAGCTTACCAATGCTATACACCACTTGATAGAAACTTCCTTTCACTTAAGATCACGGTAGGTACATAGATCATAATCGACAGTATATATATACTGTACACATTTGTTTGCCATCCCTGAAACCTTAAAAACTCTCCACAGTTCCGTTGTGCCTTCAAGAGCTAGACTGTTATGTACAACAATTATTGCTTATTGTTAGCTGATCCCTCAAGGTAGATAAGTCCGTTTCGAGGCTGTTCTCCCGTTAGCGAGGTATTATAACCTGATAGAGTAGGGACGTACAGGAGAAAACTGTCGAAGGCGAACACCAGCAGACCCTAGAATTGCAGCGCTCTAGGCAACGTTAGCCAAGGCCAGCTGAGGATAAAAGGAGAGGAGGCCAGACGTCTTGATCCATATTATATCCCTGTGAGTATACGACTTCGGAAATGCCAACCTGGGCAATTTTTACTGTGCACGTCAAGCAAGGGCACCTTTGCTGTTCTCTTAGTAAAGTTCAACCCGCTATACCAATTACATGAACTAAGAGTATCTCACGTGTCACAATAAAGTATTGTGCCTTCCCGTATGCGCTCCCTTCCAGCCTCTAGCAGAGCGTTCTCTTCTGCATGTAGGCAAAGACATGTGGATAAACCGACGCCTCCACCCTCACCTCGGTTGCATCTTGGGCCTGTAAAAACGTAAGTGCATATACTAACATATTCAAATATAAGTGGAAAGGGGAAAGGGGGGTAAAGAAGGGGGGGACAAAGAAAAAAAATAGGAATTAAGGAAATTGGGTGCGGGGGTTAAATCCATACAGCCTGCCTCGTTGCAGTTTCTGAGATGTCGTGGAGTTCCGTTGTATCCAGTACTGATGACACGGCGTTCCCGAACAAGCACGCAACCCACCCTTCTCTTCATACAATTACTCCGCTGCGCGGCAAGAGATGCCAATTGCATGAAGTACTGATCCCAGTTTGGTCGTAAGCGCTCCTCATCAGCTAAGTTAAGTCCCGCGAGAGCAGAATGCAGTTCTCCCAATGAAGACGATGAATTGAACAATCGAACCTGTGCCCGGTCGGTCAAATAGACACGCCCGATATTTTTATCATATAGATGTCGATCATTCCAGAGCACAAACTTCTCGAGAGGTGGAGCCTCTAGCTCCCTCATCCGACACCTGGGAGGAGTTAGTCTTTCACTCGGGATCATATGCTGCAACACGGGATGTAGCTGGGGTCTGACCTCTCTCCAAATCGCTGCCATCGGAGACTGACTGGTGCGTCGACACTCACTAGGAGGAAAAACGGGCGTTGAAGAAAGCGATCCAAAGTAGCACTCTCCCAAATATCTGTTGTTACCCAGAGGCCTTGCCAGCTTTTTGTTGCAAAATCTAGAAGAGATTCTGCACTTTCAAATAATAGCTGCGATGACTGACTTCTCTCTTTATCCGTGAACTCCGACGCCTGTAGCCATCGATCATCCTCGGGTTCATCAGCTATTCGAGGAAATTTTCTACTTTTAAGTTCGAGTAGCTGGAACCCTTGATGTTGTATGAGATACTCTGCAATTGCATGCTTACCAGAGCATATACCTTTAAGTACGCCATTAGTTTATGGAGAGACCGTGGGGAACATTTGAGAGTCAGTAAAACATCTGCTAACCTCCACACAAGCCAATCAGCATTTCTTCTTATTATCTTCCCTTCTTCCGTTCCCTTTCCTTTTTTTGTCACTTTATTATAACCCGGGCCAAGGGAAGTATAAAGGGGGTAGAGGCAATATACGATTAGCTCGCGAGGTATAAATGTAATTGGTGTAGTAGGTTGGAAATCAAGATGGCGGTACGGAGTAGAGGCTAAGATATACGTATCGGACTACGAGACAAAAAGCAACCTGCGGTTGAAGTGGAGCTGGCGCAGGTAACAAGTCATTGGGAAATTTTCTAATTTAGTACATCACTAAATCGTCTATCTATCTTCTGGTTACTCCCAAACACCCAAGCAAGTTGAAGCATTGTGTATATTTAGGTAGATACAAATAGTTAGTTATATCATAGTGTTACTAATTAAACAATTAGGTTGAATAATTTGATGAAAATAGTGATCTCACTGATACTCAACTGAAAACGCAGTAAGCTCTTATTAGAACTTGGCCAAAGAAGGCACAAAGATCAGAGGGGAATCGAAATAGTAGGAGGTATCCCGATTGGTAAACGGCCTTCTGAATTTGTGATAGGAAGGCGTTAGATATCAGGTAGTTGATTGAATAAATATTTTTGATTTCAACACCTAGTAACTGTTGTTGCGGGAAACGGCGGCGCTTTCTACCGATAAATGCTTCTTTTTCCTTCTTTGGTTGTGTTTCGCATTTCTTTAGGCCAGTTCATCAATAGAAGAAACCAGTTTCCAGGTTGCCATTGTTTTGTTCCCAGGGTTCTCTACTCCTGACCTTGGTACGTATATGCAGTACGGAGTACTCCGTATATACTAACAAGGATGAGGTCACCTGGATTGTACTAGTGTATGTATTTAGTATACGGAGTATACAAAATGATCATCAGTTCTTGGCGTATTTTTACAATTTTCGCGCGCTATCTTCAAAATATAGCTATTTTCAAATACTTATAACTTAACTAATCTTTTTTATATTGTCTTTATATTAGGACATATAAAAGAGAATAAGTCAAAGAGTCTACAGAGATATCCCAAAAGTTATAAAACTGCGCTAGTAATATTAGCCTCAGGTATAGATAAAATCTTTACTAGAGTGGCTAACGGTTAAGATTACAGTTAATTACTGATCTTACAATAATGGTATTTAGGGCCCTAGAATCATAAAATACT